GTAGGCTAAAAAGAAAGGAAGTATTTCTCCATCTCACATATGTCATACAGACGCCTGTCAATCCTATCTTGTAGGAACGGCGAGCCTTAGTGATAGCAGCTCTTCAAGGAAAGATCAAGCAAAATTTCAGTTGGTTTGGTAATACTCACTCATAGCAAAATCCTTAAAAGTCAACCAATATCTGGAGTTTAAGGACAATAAAACTGCCTATCAAACAAGTAGGAAAGAATGACTACATACCAAATTGGAAGGATTGTTCAGAAACTCACTGAGCAAAATGTTATTCTGGCCATGAGTTTTGCATTACATTACTGTTACTTGCAAACTATAATCCTATGAGAAAATTATCAGTATTTTGATTTATTCTTTTATTTAAAGGATTTTGTATTGTAAATTAAGGGGGAGGTTTACATCGAGATCATCAGCATTTACATTTCAGACAGTTCAATGGTTTAAACTACTAATCAAACCCTCCAATAGTTTACTCTTCTCCCACTCATTGATTTATCTTCTTCATTTTGTGAAACACTCATCTTCCACTTCAGTCAATTTAACACCCATCAATCATCTGTCTGTTGTTTTATCTTCCCTCACTTACCCTTGCCCCTTTGACAGATTCAAAAGTCTGTTCCCTGTGATAGGAAAGGCTTTTTCTTGCTCCCCCTCACCGCCAGCCAGCCCACTTATAACAGTGGAGGCCCTTTGGCATCTATCATGACTAAAAGAGCCTTGTAGCACTTGACAGAGGAGGACAGGGGCTAAGAGTCTATACATTAAGGGACCGAACTTATTTCACTGTTATTTCAGATACCAGCTGGGTCATCCAAAGTGAAAAGGTTTCAACAAAGCTTCCAGGCTAAGAACAGAGGAATTAGCCACTGAAAACCTCGTGGAGAGTATCAAACCATTGTCAGATCATGAAATCCTCGTGAGGGGGAGCAGAACATCGTCAGTGATGTTACCGCATGATGAGCCCCCCCAGGAAGGAAGGCTCAAAATAAGACTGAGGAAGAGGCTCCTTCTGAAAGTGGAGAACATAATGACATGGATGGAGTAAAGTTTGCAGGAGCAATGCCTTCCAGACTTTCATTTGCTGATGGTGCATGACTAAAAATGAGAAGAAACATACGCAAACATCAGTTAATAATTGGAATTTGGAATGTACAAAATATGAATCTAAGAAAACTGGGAGTCATGCAAAATGAAATGGAGCACATAAAGATCAATATTTTGGGTCTTAGTGAACTGAAATGGACTGGTATTAGCGATTTTATATCAGAAAAGTTTATGGTTCACTATGCTGGGAATGACATAATCTAGAGAACCCTGTCTAACACAGTTGCGTTCATCATCAAAGAACATGTCAAGATCTACCTTGAAGTACAATGCTGTCTGTGATGGAATATTATCTGTTACCATACAAGCAAATAACATCAATACATTTATAATTCAGACTTAATGCACAAACCACTAAAGCTAGTGATGCAAAAATTCTACAAACATCTTCAGTCTGAAATTGGTCAAACATGCGATTGTGATGCATTGATAATTATTGGTGATTGGAATGCCAAAGCTGGGCACAGAGAAGGAGGAACAATGGTTGAAAAATATGGTCTTGATAATGGAAATGAAGCTGGAGATTGCAAGATAAAATTTTCAAGACTAACAACTTCTTGATTGAAAATATCTTTTTTTAACATTGCAAATGATGACTACACAAGGGTATATCTCCAGATGGAATACACAGAAATCAAATTGACTATATCTGTGTGAAGAGACTATGGAATAACTCAATATCAGCAGCTAAAACCAGGCTAGAGGCTGTAAAACAAACCATCAATTGCTCATATGTTAGTTCAGTTTGGGAGTGAAGAAAATTAAAGCAAGTCCAAGGTAGCCAAAATACAACCTTGAGTCTATCCCACCTGAATTTCAAGAACAGATTTTCTGCATTGAACAGTAAGACAGAAGACCCAATAAGCTGTGGAATGGATCAAGAA